TTCAAATCCCATTCTTTTTAATAATGTTGTACTTTATACACATAAATTAGAATGAATTCCACTTTCTTTCCTAACAACTCCAGATGGAGTCCACACTTTCAAGAGGACTAGAACTTGCCTTTTTTATTATTATTATTATTATTAAGTATATACTTCTTAGAACAAGTATGTTCCTATCTTCATTAAAATGCTGTGGATGTTCAAATGCTAAGCGATTAGTAAAAACATAGAATTCATGTAGTCCTTTTCAAAATCAAACTGAAATATGAGGATAGCATTTCTGTATCTACCCTTTCCAACTTACAAAGACAGACACACATAAAGAAAATATGCCCAGAAACAAAACACCATCCAGGCAGAGCTGTAGATCTACCGATACCTGTGGACTGGGGAGTCTACAGATATCCATTTAGGACACATCCCCTGTAGCACCCAGCAGACAAAATTATCAAATATCTAAAGACACTACAGTTACACATTCAGGCCTCCCTTTTCATGTGATTAATATTTCACTGACTTTCTGCATTTAGCTTGGCTTTCTTATATAATTCGCTATCACAGCACACAGAACAGCCCAAGATCCATCAAAATAGCTCCTACCCAACCACAAATGAGAGAATGTCTTTACAAAACATACATATGGTGACGGTCTGCCTATTAAAATGCCTTAAGCTCTGTTTGTTTGTTTATTTTTTTAAAAAAATCAACTTGCAAGCCCAATGTAATAAGATGCTGTAGCTTTTATGAAAGAGGTGAAATAATTTTAAACACAGACACACAATGAGTTTATTTATTTAGAAACTTGTTAAATAGAGTCTGGGAATTCAAATATTCAATGTTGACATTGTACAGAACTGGCCAGGAGCCAGAACCCAGTCTCCAGAGGACCCATTGGACAAGGAATTCAGGCCTTTCTCTCCTCCCACTTGAGCTAAATGGGTGGAGGCCATTAGTTATACCCACAGCAATATCTGAACCGCACTCGAATTCGCGGCCCTCGCCAGGGCACTTCAAAGGAGGGCAAGTGTGTTTAGCTTTTTAGTGCTGAACTAGAGCGATATGTCACACTTTTGAAAGAGTTTTGTAAACAGTTTCTTCCTTATGTAGAAATATCTCTGAAGTTTCTTGTATGGCATGTAAGGAAGGATAATTAACAAGGATTATACTTTTTCCATTTACTGGGGAACAAAATATAATACCAATCGGTGTGCGAACGGGGACCTGGAAGAAGAGGCACGCTGCTTCCGTCTTCCTTTCTCCCTCTCTTGTTTTCTGCTCCATTTGTTCGTCTCCTTCTTGCCCTGTTCCTCACACTTGTTCTCACTACACAGCCAATTTCCTTGAGAACTCTCCGGTAAACTTGCAAGGCCAGAAGAGTGGGAAGGGGGAAATCTAATTTTAGAAAAAGGACCGTGGCAAACGGGGTAGGGAGGGAACTAATGATTCATACTGGGCTGCCCCGATGAAAAGAAAAGCAGACCCCACAGACCTTTTTAGAAAGTGCCTGAAGCAGCAGCTTCCAGCCAAGGAAGGGTTAACCACCACTCCAGAAAAATGTGGCTGGCATCCTTAGAGTGTGTCTATCCCCTCCCGCCCGGTGTCCCCCAAGGGCCTCTCTCCCCCCTGCCGGGGTGAGTGAATGAAGGTGTGCCTGCCCTCCTCACTTGAGTGTTCCTTAACCCCGGACGTGTGAGCGTGCGTGTGCGTGTGCGTGTGTGTGTGTGTGTGTGTGTGAGAGAGAGAGAGAGAGAGAGAGAGAGAGAGAGAGAGAGAGGTGCGTGCGGGTGCATGTGTGTACACCGTCAGCGCTCCTGGCGAAGCAGTGCGCCGGCACGCAGCCCCTCTGAGGCTGGAGAGAGAAGATCTGGCCTAAGCTTGAGAGCCAGGAGCTGAGCAGCTGAGCCGCTGGGGCGGGAGGTGTGGGGGTCCTCCCTGGGTGAGCACTGCCAGGCTCCTGCTAGGGCCTCCCCAGCTCCACCCCCCACTCCCCAAGAGAGCCCGCTCCCACTGCCTGCGATGGTTTGGAGATAAGGGGTGGGAGGCTGTACCCAGCTCTTGGGACTGGGGCTCCTCTAGGAGCTGAGTTCCTCGGGAACGGGGTGAGAGCCACTGGCCAGAAGGTGACAAGTCAAGTTTCTCCACTTCAGGGCCCGCTCCCCACAGAAGCAAACGGAGGAGGTGCGGGGAGAGGGGGACTGAGCTAAAGGAGCCGAGGGCAACAAGTCGGCTCTCTCTTGCCCTCCTTTGTCCTTCTTGCCTCCGGGGTCCCCATCCTTGTCCTCCCTGGGCCCAGGCCACGTCTGAGGCGACAACCTGGCCCCAGCTTCCAAAAATGAAATACAAGAAACTCCCAAACGACAAGATGTTTAAAGGGAAACTGCTTACAGAGTGACTACCTTCAACTTTATAAAAGAGAAGAAGGAAGTAAAAATTTCTTAAAATGACGCGTTAATTTCTATTCGATAAGCGTCCTATGTGCTGAACGTTTGTCGGCAGGGGAGGCCCGGGCCCGGGTAGTGGAGAGAGGCCTCCGCTCAGAGAACCTGTGAACTGGGCTACCCCCGCCAAGACTCGCTCACGCACACTTACGCGCGCACTCACACGCACATCGTCGCCAAGACCTGTGACTTCTCAAGCCCCTACAAATAAAAATCTGAAAAAGGAGCCTTTCTTTCCAGCCTTCCTGCCTCCGCATCTAATGAACCGTACCCTTCCACAATGTTTGGGGGGGGGGATGAAAAGCGTTATTAACCTTCTCCCAAACATGGATTTTTTTTTCTTTTTTTGGCGAAACACATCGAAATGCTGCAGGAATACTGCGCTCCAAGTGCCAAATGCAATAAAGAAGCCCTAAGCCAGGGTAATGGTCAAGTAATGGCAAATAAACCGCCTTCCTAGAAGGGGCCTCGGGCCTCTGACGGGCGAGGGTTTTTCCTCCTCAAAAGCAGTCTGAAATAAACAAGTAAAATATGTTTTTTAAACAAAGCTCTGTATTTCCATCTTTTCTTTTTTAATTATGAAGAAAAACACAAATGGGTGGGCATACGGGGAGTGCAGGCTGGAACCTGGGTGCGCGTTTCCTTTGTTATCTTAAGTATTGGGCTGCTAAGGTGAGGAGTTTAAGCACGTTGAGGGAGGGTCCTCATCTACCTTACCTATTTAAAAGCCTCTTTTTAAACAGAGATCAAGTGTACAAGTAACAAGTGCCCCCCTCTCCGGGGTCTTGCTAATCGCATCGCCTTCTGGGTCTTTACGAGACTTCTGGGGGGCCGGTAGCTAAAGGGGGGGGTTACACGTTGCAACTCCTTCAGTGCTGTGATTGAAACACTGCCGGGTGTCACTTTAGGAAAGTGGGGTGGGGGTTGCTTCCGTGTCTCGGCTCTAGGCAGGCTGGGCAAACCCAACTTGACTTCTTTCCCATCACCAGGAGAAAAAAGTTGCAACTGGCAATTCTGGCACCGCCCAGGTGCTCTCCTAGCTGCCCAAAAAAACCGCTGGGAAGCCTCCCGGCGCTGCCGCAGTCTGCTTTTAGTTTTCTTTTCTTAAAGATGGGAATAAAAGCCAAGGGCTTTAGACAGTACAACTGTCAATCTTCCTGCTTTTCCCTTTTTTCTTTTTAAATTAAACGGTTTATTCCTCCCAAATGATTTGCAACGAATTTATCGGTTTCAACTAGTGTGTAAAAAAAAAAAAAAAAGAAAAAAACAAGCCCTGTAAGTTGGAACATGGGTTGTGCATTCATTCTGGGCTTAACTTCAGTGGGTACTTTCAGGGTTCATGGGATCCTGTACTGTAGCCAAGACCGGGACAGGACTTGGCCACCAAAGAAATTTACAAAAGACAAAAAGAATAACAAGAAATCCAGAAAACTACTGTTCCTATGTGATTTGTTTCCACTACAATGTTGACTTTGCATTTAAAAAAAAAACATAAAGGTATGCTTTTTAAAGTATGCTGGTACACTGCCTCTTTCTAATCCAGAAAAAAAAAAAAAAGAAAAGAAAAACCGGTGCAGACAGAGCGGTGAAGTTTTCGTTGGACTGCACGGCAAGGGGTCACTGACTATCTCTGCCACGCTCAAGGAAACTCACGCACTACGGCGGGGGACGGAAATAGCGCTTTAAAATACAAAAAAATCCCTACTTTTGATATGATTTCCTTTATTGCCCAGATTGTAACTGAAGAATTGCATAAAGCAGTGCTTCTGCCCGAGAAAAGCTGCCTGGTGGCAACAGCTGGAGCAGCGCGAACGAGAACCTGAGGCTCAGCAAGGAAAGTTTGTAAGAGTTCCTATCTAGTTATCAGAAAGGGGCAGCGGCATCCTGAGAGACACTAGAGACAAAAAATGGGTCTCCCACTGAATGAATGAGAAGTATCATCAGATCGGGAAACGAGGTTCAGTTTCTGGATGTTGAGCGGGCTGTGCGTGCGGGAATATTTTAATAGGGCGGCGTATAGCTTGGCAATTAAAATAGTTGAAAAAGTTGCTCAAGGAAATTCGAAGAGTTTTGTGTTCTGCTTTCACTTCAGCGGATACCGGGCAATGAGGCGCAAAGCATTCGGCTTTCATTTCACAATTTAGGCATGGTTGAAATAGGCTCTCCACGCCCCCCCCCCCCCCAAAACACCGCTCTCGTCCTCCCCCCCCCCACCCCCCCCCCCACACACACACTCTCTCTCTCTCTCTCTCACTCCAAACCTTTAGCCGGAATTGAAGCCCCCAGGCCTCCAAACATATGTACACTTAATTGCTCCTCAGATGAAAATAAAGACATCGGCCACATTTGAAAGAAAACAGAAAAAACGGGTCTTCTACTGGCGCCCTTTGACAGTGTCGCAGCTAAGTGAAATGAACAATATCCAAAAGAGAAACAGATGTACTGATGACCCAAGAGCCCTATATTTAGGTTGATCCCTGAGACCAGGGCGAAAGGAAACGTATTGGGAAGTGGAGGAGTGCTTGAGTGAGGACTGGACGAAGCACTGGAAAGGAGCCTACGATGACACCATCTCACTGGGCTAGACCTCGGACTCCCACTGCCAAAGAAACCCAGCCCGCAGAGGTGCCGCTGCCTTCCGCTGCGGAGACCTGGGAGGCTGGAAGGTTTGGGGACGTACTTGGTTTTAATACGCAAGGGAGGGGGGAGAGATTGGGGATTTTACTGGGGAGAAGCGTCCTACCCACCCCCATCTCTCCTTTCTCCCGTCCCCAAGCAAAACAATTAGTTGTTTTCAGCGAGTGGAAGAGCGAACGGCGGCCTGTCCCCTCCCGAGGCTGCTCCAGCCTCGCGTGCTGACACCTCGAGGAGGAGGGCTTTGGACTGCTCGGGTTTGCTCCGGGTCTCGGCACCTCCTAGTCCCCTTACACTTGCGCTAGAAGCATTTGGACAAACCCAGTCCTGACGCCTACAGTCCCGATCGAGGCGTCTGCCTTTCCGGACTGTGTCGGTTCGGCGGACAATTCCAGGCGAAGTCCCCCGACACTTTTGTGAGAAGAGTGGGGGATGGGGACCCTGCCGCCCCGGCCCTGAACCCAATCTCCCCGGTCCCGCGTGATCAACGCGGCTCCACGCCGGGCAGGCAGGGGGCGCCGGGGAGGGTTAGTGACCCGAGACCCGGGCTGCATCCAGAAATAGAGCGAGAGGCTCTGCGGCGCTCCCTCCGCGGCCTAAAGTCCCGGCAGCCCGCCCCCTGGGGGTCACTCGGCGCCCGGCCAGCCTGGATCTCGCAGGCGGGAGCAGGCCCTTTCGGCCCCCTTCTCCTCGGCGGCTGTCGCCGCTGGCTGCGCGCCCTGCACTCCTCACTCTCCAGGCGCTCGCCGGGCCTCTTCTCTCCTCACCTGCCCCCGGCTCCGGCGAGCCGGTAGCTCTGCACTGCCTGTGCCCCACCACCACCACACACACGGCGACTACAGCCCCCACTCTCGTCTCCCCCACTCCCCACCCCAGTCGTCCCGCCGCGCGGGGCACGCCGGAGAGCACAGCCGAGCGCACAGCGCCCACTACCGCAACCGCAGCTCGGCGCAGCCCGCCAGCCCGCGCAACTTCCAGCGGCCGCCTCGCAACTTTTCCCAACTCCACCACGGCTGCCCGCCGCCGCCGCCACTGTGGCTCCCTCCGAGCCTGCCACCCACCCCAAACCCCAGAAACAAACCAAGGCTCGAAAACGCTCCCATCCCCAGCCCGCCTCCCCCCATCCCCCGCTCCCCCTCCCATACCCGGGACTAGCTGGTTGGCCAGAGGCAACTCTCCTCCGCCTGGGGGAAGGGGAGGGGAGGGGGAGACTCTCTCATCTCCTCTCCCCCCACCCCACCCCTTCCCGCTTGCTCTCGCGCGCTCTTCTCCCTCCCACCCCGGTCTTGGCTGCCCCCACCCCCACCCCCACCCCGGGATTGCCACAGCTGGTCGGTGCGCGGGGCTAAGGGCTGCCCCGGCTCCTCTGGCGCCCAAACCAAGAGCGAGAGCGCGGGAGGCCGGGCGCGAAGGCTAGGACCGGCAGGTTGCTGGGGCTGCGTTGCGCCTGCCCTCCACCCGGGCCCCGGCGCGAGAGGCAGCTGCGCGCTCCCTCCCGGAGCGCTGGAGACAGATATGCAAGATGGCAGAGGAGGGGGAAAGCCAATAGAAAAGGGATATTGCACCTACTTGTGGCCAGTTTCCTTGCCCTGCCTTTGGATCTCATGCTGTGCCCAGTCCTGCAGCCGCTGGTGTGTGGTTGGGGTTTTTTTTTCTTGGATCTTTTCCTTCTTTTGCTCTCCCTCTCGCTCCCTCCCTCGCTCCTCTCTCTCTCTCTCTCTCTCTCTCTCTCTCTCCCCCCCTCACACACACACACACACACACACACACACACACAAACACGCACTTACACACACTCACTCTCTGTCTTTCCTCTTTCACTCTCTCTCCCTCCCTCTCTCCCTTTCTCTCAATCCACACTCGCTATCTCTCCAGCATTGTCAGTTCGGACACCTTCGCACATGCGCGCTAGACGCCCCTCCAACATCTCAGCGCCGCCAAAAAAAGTTTGGAGCGATTTATCACTTTGATTTGGAGATCTTGTCAGATGGCAATCGCTGAGGAGGCGGAGAAAGGGAGCCACGGGGAGGGCGGCGGGGGGCGGGGAGCGAGCGCAGGGAGGCAGAGGGGAGCAGACACCTCGCCCCAAAAAAAGGCGGGCGGTGAGGGGGGGGCGGAATAAAGACTAGGGCAAAGGCTTGATTTCGTGTTGGAATCACCAATAAGCCTGCATCATCATTATTATTGTTTTTCCCACCATAAATTGCAGGAGATTTTCTATACCATCCACGGAGAAAGCAAGAAGTGGGGCTTTTAGAACCTTTTCCGTGCTAAAGAACTAGAAGGACGGGACTGTTGACAAACGATCCAGGAGAAAGTGAGAATCATCCTGAACTTCAGGCAATCTGCTGCTGCCGCCCCCGCTGCTGCTGCTGCTGAAGCTCTTGCGGCTTTGTGCTTTCAGAGTTGAAAGCTAAATAAGTAACTGTTTTCTTGCTCGGTGTTAGGTATAATCCAATGCTTGCAGCTACCCTTGGAACGTTTCAGTGGTCTATTCCCACCAAGTAGTAATCATCACCTCCCAGGTCCGGACAGGCTCGGGCATTTAATATCCAAGACCTCCTGCGTCCCTGAGGTTGGCTGTCACCTTCCGGCCTCCCCCAAGGCCGCCCCCATCTCCTCTTGCTGCAGCTCAGCCTGCCAGCCATTTTCACTCATTCGCTTAAAACCACAACCTTTGGGGTCAAAAGAAAGAGGAGGTGGGGGGAAATTCCTCCCCCACCCTTAAAAAATACATTGTTGAAACTTGCTTTAATTACAGGATTTACCAATGAAGTGGGCACATAGAAATGGGGAAATCCTAAAGGGACCAGCTGTGTTCAAGGTATGAATCAATTTCAACTACGTATAGATTTTCTCTTGGTACAACCTCCTTGCATTAAACAGTTTTGTTCAATACCTTCCATGAGCTATTTATGTCCCCAATAATATCTGTTGCAAATCCTGCCAGACACTGTAAAAGAAAATTACAATCTTTTCAGTCTCTGTGCTGCAACAGTACATCCTTGATGTTCCAGTTAGAGGAAAAGGAAAAGAAAAGCAAGCCCTGGGCATGAGTTTGGCAAAGGTGGAGGGGGGGGAAGAGAGATCACTGAGAATGTCCTGAGCAAACAGTAAGGTTCAAGCCTAAAGGGCATTCACCAATGGCTCCTAAAATATCTCTGAGAAGTCAAAATTCAAAGGATCACCCTGGCTAAGGATGCCCACCATTTCTTTCTCCAGAGATGTGTAATTCTGGGAGCCTGTGGCTGTAAGATACAGGTCCCTGGAGAACCAAGTACAGGTCCCAAGAGAGACAAATGTGTAATGTTGAAATGTAAGGAAAAGAAAGGGAGCAAAGGAAGGAATTGCACAGAGCAGGAGTAAAATAACTTCCAAAAGAGAAGGTTCTGATAAGTACCAGACAGACACAAGAGTACTCTTATCATTCCCTCTAGACTGAAGAGGCAGGTGGGTTTTGTTTTTTGTTTTTTGTTTTTCCAGTCCGACTACAATTCCTGTTGCTCTGTGCATCCAGGTGCTGTACTTAACACACAGCAGAGGTGGGTGCAAAAGCAGCAGGCACTTCAACATTCTGAATGTGGATACCCAGAAGTCTGTGAATGTGAGTTCACAGGCTCCCCTCGGTTTAGATGGAGTAGTGCCTTCCCTCTGACCAGTAAGTGTCCCCAGAGGAAAAGGAGAAGTGGGGGATTGAGAACCTTTAGAAAGGTAATAGAGTCTCTAGGGAGAGAAACACTAGGCTGGCCGGCAAGATGTTCATAGAAGCTGCTCCTGATCAGTTTAAGGATTCCCTGGAGACCCTCACCTAGGCCACAGGATGGAGAGACTGCACTGGAGGATCAGACCCCTACCATCTACCGGAACCTCGAAGGCCCTGTCCCCCAGGAGAGGAGAAGGAGACCCCAAAGGGAGGAAGAGCTCCCAGAACAGTCGGAGGCTCTGCCTGGGACTTTTCATTTCACCTTCTCAGCCCCGGGAACCTTAAAAAAAATAATAAAAGGAGTTACTATCCTCCCCTCTGCTGCTTGCATTAATTCCTTTCATCTTAGCGGGGGGGAAGGAGGGGTCTTATATCCTGGTCCACTTGAAGAGAGGAAGTTAAGAGGAGTGCCAGAGAATTTTCTAGGAAACGAAGGTACCATGGAACCAACCCCAAGATTAAATAGAAGACCTATACGTGAAGCTGCGATGATTGTTTCCGCTGAGAAATTATAAACCACGTGGCGGGTTAGGGGTGGGGTGGGGTGGGGGCTGTGAAGGGAATTGGGTAGGATATGAAGGACTCCAGAAAATAAAATCGGAGTTCCCAAACTTAAAGATCCCCGTCTTTTAAACTTTTCTAGAGAGCGAAGGGCGCGGGGGTGAAGCGCTGCTGGAGCACCCTCCCCTTCTGGTTTTTTAAAGTCCCTGGGGTCGCGGCCCCCTCAGCGAATGCCTGGTCTTTCCAAGAGTTTCGGGACACGAGCAAATCCAACCTCTCCCAACTGAAATAATAAACACAAACTCCTCTGTGCCCTAGGGCCAAAGCATTGTGAATAGACAAGGCATCATTCTTTTTTGCTGTTTTTTTTTTTTAGTGAAGTATTCACAATATCATCGTTTTTCTTTTCAAACCTGAAAGCTGGGTTTCTCTCTCTCTGTCTCTCTCTCTCTCTCTCTCATTTGCTTTCTGCCCTAGGTGAGTGTTACTAAAAAAGCCAAGTTTCTAGTTCAAGTGTGTTTAACCTGATGGAGCAAACGCCCAGCAGCTGCGGACTGCGCTCGCCGCCTGCAGCGCCGCGGCCCCGGCGTGCGGACCTGGGCGGGTTCCCACTTCCAAGTACATGAACCCCGTCAGTTCCACCTGTCCCAAGTCTCAGCCGTGAGACCCAAGCAGGTGACTTTCTGTTCAGCGGTCCCTCGGATTCCCAAAACCCTCGGACGGGACGTCCAAGCTGTCGCTCGCCCAAGAGAAAAGAGGCCTCCAACAAGTTGGCCGAACTGCCCCCGCTGCCCGATTACCTACCACCCACCTTTCCCTCTCCTCCTGAAATTCGTTTCCTTGAGGGGCATGAGTGCCAACGTTTTCTTGCGTTTTCTCCAACGGAAGCGAGCATCCTGGAAACAGTGCCTCCTTGGAAAGTCGAAGAGCTTACGGGCTGTCTGGATTTGCTTGTTTTCTTACTGTCATATTTTGTTTCGGGGTTTTTGTTGGGGTTTTTTTTTTTGAGTTTTTTAAAGGAGAAGTAGAGAAATCAAGATGGGAGTTGAAAGGAAGAGGGGTCATGAAAGAAGAAAAGAAAAGTATACCCTTTCTCCGACTATGTTTCTTTAATAAATGCTAAAAACGGCAAAGAACTGATTTTCAATACATTGCATGCAACAGGAACTTTTCCTTTCCTCGAAATATAATTGAACCAGCCCCACAGTGTCTTTGGAAGAAAGTTTGAATTCTTTATGGAGGTATTTCTTGGCCTATTGTCTTTGTGCAGTGAACTTTACATCTTGCTATTCAACCTATATTCTCCTGGTTACCAGCAAGATTAATTTAATCATTGTAATGCAATTATTAATACTGTTTACCCAACGCTGGGTTTCAGGTTGGCTGTTAAGAAATTAAACTCTCACTGGGTGACCAGAGCTAGGCAGGGGTTTCTTCATGTTGAAAGGAAACAGTCCTCTTTATTTAGTCTCAGAGCTCTAGCTTTCGGCCACGGGCTCAATTAGCCAAAATGGAAACAATTTTCATTCATTGCAATAACTCACTGTTCTGGAGATCGCTTTCAAAATATACACTTTATTATTATACGCTGACCTCGGTGGCGTGGAGTGGCAATAAAAGAAAGAGGCAGGGAGATCTATCTAGCCCCCTTGGGCTATAATTATTAGAAATTAATTGGGTTCAGGACCCTGGGTAGTCTAGCTAAATTAATAGCTTGTCTAGTGGTTTAAATCCGAATTTTTAGTCCACGGGAGAAAGAGAGAGTCACAGACATGAAATGCAGACCCAAGGGACGCCTGAGTTTACTTGTAAGACACTCATCTATTAAATAGTGTCTAGAATACATTTGAGTTGGGGAGAGGGGGTCGCAGTAGGAGGGGCGGGGGCCAGAAGAAAGAAAGGAGCGGGATGGGGAAGGCGACTCCGAGTGAGCTAAAAGGTCTCGAGTTGA